ATATACAAACACCCCATATATAAAGATACTCACAAGGATATATATACAAACACCCCATACATAAAGATACAAGTATATATATACAAACACCCCATTTATAAAGATACTCACAAGTATATCTGCACAAACACCCCATACATAAAGATACAAGTATATATATACAAACACCCCATATATAAATATACTCACAAGTATATATATATACACACACATATATATACATACAAGTATAGATACTCACACAAGTGTATATATACAAGAATATAAATATATTACACACACACATATATACACATACACAGAGACAGACATACAGACGTATGGGAGTACAGACACCACACACACACAGACACACAGACATATAGACATGTTGGCACACAGACCTAGCACGCACACCCCCATTTTCCGATCCCTTGTCCCATCTGTGGGTCCCCTCCCAGCCCTGAGTAGCCCCCCCCCCGGTGTCCTAGCACCCCGCTGACCTCTGTCCCTGGCTCCCCAGCGTCGGAACCAGGCCATGTGGCAACCGCAGGCCCACGGGTTGCCGTGCAGGTAGAGGTTGTCCAGCAGTGGCATGTTCTGGAGGAGGCCGGCGGGCAGCGAGGCCAGCGCATTGTCGCCCAGGTACAGGTGCCTGACGGTGGACAGCTGGAAGTGGCCGAGGAAAGAGAAGGTGGAGAAGGCGGCGGGGTGCACCTGGTGGAGCAGGTTGCCTTCCAGGTTCACCAACCTCAGGGCCGTGAGGCCGCGCAGGGCTTGGGGGTGCAGGAACTCGATCTGGTTGTGGTCCACGTACAGCCGCACCAGGCTGGACAGCCCCTGCAGCGTCCGCTCTGCGATGACCCTCAGTTTGTTGTAGCTGAATTTGAAGACCTGTGGGGAGAAGAGAGAGGAGAGGAAGACACAGACGGTCAGACACGGGTGACAGTTGTTGTTGTTATGTGCCATCGAGTTGCTTGCATAGCCACCCTATGTACAACAGCCCTAAACCCTGTTCTGTCCTGTGCCAATTGCACTATCTCCAACACACATACCCCCATAGCCCCAGTCACTGAATCAATCCACCTCATAGAGGGCCTTCCCCTCCTGCGCTGTCCCTCCACCCTCCCAAGCATGACGTCCCTCTCCAAGGACCTGTCCCTCCTTACAACATGTCCAAAATATGTCAGACAGAGCTGCAGAATCAGTCAGGAAAACCCCCAAAGTAAAAAACCAAACAAACCCCAAATTGTGCCTCTGAGGAGAGCCAGTCTTCACCGTTGTGATTTATAAGGAAATAAAATGCATGAATTAATTAGACACACACAGCTATGTTGTGGCTGTCTGTCCTCAGCTTGATTTTTGCCTCATGGAGACTTTATGGGGCAGACCAGAACTCCCTCCTTCAGTTTCTGAGATTGTGAGTCTTGGCAGGAAGTGAAGAGTTCAGCTTTCCCTCTTAGAGCCTTGGCTGGGCTTGAAACACCAACCCTTGGCTTGGAAGTCCAGCATTTTCACCTCAACACCTTTCTATTAAGAGTCACCCCCACAAAACCCACAAGGTTCTCCTTCTTGATGCATCGATGTGTCTGCGTGACTCTGACGAGTGTTACCTGGTCTCTGTTAAGCATTCAAGTCTCTTCAGTCACAGACAGAAATGACAGATATATATATATATATATA